CTTCACAGCTGAAAAAGCTGGAAACTAGTTCTGTTACGTTATTCATAAGGCTGCTACTGCATGACACTTTCCTTGGTTATATTTACTGCTTACACTTTTTAGTATCCTTGTCCAATATAGCCCTGTGGCCTTGTATCATGCAAGAAGTGCTCCTAGTTTGGAGCACAGGGTTCTATTTCCCTTTTTAGGGTTTTAAAGCCAATTTTGGAAGTGGTGCTGCCCTGAGTAAGAACCTGTGGTTTCTGCATTGTCCATTTTGATGACTACAGGCAGGTTTTGGGACTTGTTATGCAGGGGACTTGCATATGGAGGATTCTAACTGAAGTACTCCAGGGACGTTTTTGCTAAATCCTGAATATCTTGTATTGTCTATCAGTGAAAGAATTTAAGCCAACTAAATTGCCCTGACAGGTGAGTGCTAGGGGCTACAAATCAGAAGGGAGGTATGTCATCCCACTAAAGAATTTTAAGTGGTGCATCACAGATGTAGTCTGGCTAGAGAAGCTGATCTTGTGTAGGTGAAAGGGAGTATGTAGCTGCAGCGTTGGTGAGCATTGTGGTGCTAATCTGAGTGAAAAATGGCTGAAATATGTACCTTTGCCAGAAGTAGTGCCTTCTCACTGTTCTGCTCTTAGGCACTTGAATCTGTCTCTTTTCTTTTCCCTCCATCTTTAATTCTTCCTTTCTAAATAAAAAGGTAATTCAGTAGAAAAATGTATTTAGATTTCATCAGGGGTATGTGTAACGGTCTGAATTGATGCTGAATAAGCTGATTAAATTATTTGGTTTCCTAATATTGAGTGGTTTGCTTTGCAAGCAATAACTTACATAGCTAAAGGAAACAGGGAAAACTTACCATGTGATACCACGAGATTGCACATCTAGGACCTTCTCTGAAGACTACAGATTTTCTCTTCTTTGTTAGTTCTCTGTGTCTCGCTGATTCTTGAACACTGAGGGTTTTTAGAGGAAGCTTGGGATTAGCAACAGCAAATATTGTAGTAGTTAGGGCATTCTCCTTAAAGAGGGGAGAGTGGACTCAAGCTGCCTCAGGTTGAGAAGGGATTTGAGCCACTGCCCCAAGGACTCTGTTGAGTCGCAACAGCCACTACCTCTTGCTTCCTTCCAGCATGTGCCTATCTGCAAAAAGAGTCCTTTGCCAATAATTTCTTTGGCTGGATCAAGGTGGTTTCCTGATCAGGAGCACTGAAGCACCTTATAGATGATAGAGAAGGAGACCTCTTCTTAAACCCTTCACTTCAGAGCTGCCTGTTTCTCTCCATTTTCTGTACAGAGTTGGAAAACTCTTCTGACTTTACATGGTATGATTTATTAGCCTGGGTCAGGTACCTACTTTAAGTGTTGCAGCCTTTGAGTTAGTGTCTAAATTAAGTGATCTGAAATGTTTCAAAAACGTCTTAGTACACAACATGTAAGCATAGTTATCTGCCTTCTGGAGACGGAATGTTATTAAATTTTACCAAAAAGCTTTATAATCTGTGCTTATCACTTGCCACTAGTGACTTTCGGGGGCTATAGTGCCTTCTGTATTCATGGATTTCCACAAAGAAAGCAAAGAAAAATCATTTAATCCTGGACAGCCACTCTGATAGGAGATGACTTAATTGGTTTTGAGGCTTTTTTTTTTGTAAATGCCAAAACAGTATTTACTATTTGTGCATCACTTTAGTAATATAAAAATACTCTGATTTTAAGTAAACAGTTACTATGTACACACATTATAAAAACTTCCTACGAAACATGTATTGCTATGCTTTTGTTTTTCTGATATTTCCACTTTACCTTCTTCCTGAGATTACTTTGCAACAAAGTAAAAGAAACCATCTTTAGGTCATGATAGCTAACATGTAACTCAGTTCTGTCATGATTTTAAAAGGAAAAAAAAAAGTCAGTGAGGTGACTGGATAATTTGAACTTCTTGGTTTTGAGGAAATCCTGGTGTTTTGGTGTTTGGGTTTTTTTTACTACATTACTGAATATTGTAAAATGGGTATTGACAGTAATTAAATTATCAGGTCTGGACCCTGTGCAATACAGATGAGCAGAATTATTTGCCCTAATTTTTATAGGCCTGGTCCGGTGACATGGCATTAATCTTCCTTGTAATTAAGTCATTTAAATCTTACACCACACACTTAAATATAAGTTGTGTTTAGCAACTTGTACTCTTTTGTAGAGGCGTTTTGTCAGTCTAAAAAGACTTTGTGTTGTCATAGAACATGGGCTGGGGAAGAAGAGGACAACACTTGCTGTATCAAGATGCATAAAAAATAAGGTAGAACTCTTAAGACCATGAACAGTAATGGAAGGAAAAATATTATGTAAATCTGTTATATCTATAAACCAGATGGATGAAGCTTTCATGATAGCTAGCAAATCATCCAGAACCCGGATCACACTGGTAATGGTGGATACGAATTAGACGGCTGTTGAGAAAACAAGAATATTTTCCAGTAATTTTTTTAGTGTATTTGCTGTTGACAAGTTTTTGCTACGTAAAGCAGAGGAGCCATCTATAGGAGAGAGACTCTGTATGTGATTCAAAATGGGGAAGTTACTGAAAACATGAAAGTCGAGGAAAGTTGGGGTGAATGTGACTTAAGTGAGAGTTTATGGTCCCTAGTAACAAAAGGAGGGAAGAATGCTAAAGTAAAAACAATGGATTTTGTGAAAGAAGGCTACAGTAAATACAGAATTGGTAGATAAGATCTCTTTAGTCAAGCCTCAAGGGGGAAAGGAATTAAGGAGAAGCGATGCTTTGTCAGAGATAATACTAAAGCACAGACAATGCTAATGCAGAGATTTAGACTTCAATTAAACTGTAAATTCTTCATTGACCTCTGAGAGTTTCTCAGTTTGGTGAGGAACGGAATAAAAGATTTGTATGAGAAAGGGACAAAGTTGGGTCGGAGCAGGGAATGGGGACACCCAGATTAACTGCATTTCATTCTTAAGCAAGAGGCACCAAGTTAGTACACACATGCACACACATCCAAAAATGTTCTGTCGCACAGTAAAAGAAGAGCCAAAGAAAGTGTTTGTCATTTATAAGCCTTTCCTCCAATGACAAGAAAATGATACTGAGGTTCTAAAGCTTTTAATCTATTTTTTGTGCAAGTTTTTGCTAAGAAGTCAGCTGCGTATAGGTGGCTAGCACAGTACTAATGCCTAAACAGGATTCTGCCATCTGTCTGTGTATGCAAATTAGTTGTTCCTGAAAATTAAGTAATATTATGAAATGTAAATAAATGTCACCGACTCTGTGGCCAATTGATGGAATACCATAGATAGATTTTAATTTGAGAGTGTTAAATACATATAATTGGGAGTTACTTTAATAATAAAAATATTTAGATGATCCCTAATTCCTCAGTGTAAAAACTTGGTTTCTGAGATCTTTTCTTTTGCAGTTTATACTCTTGACAATCTGACTGGTAATGTTTCAGCCCAATAAATACCTGCTTTGACTGGAAATATCAGAAGTTTGTTTTTAAATGATGTGCTGCATTCTTCTGACCTTCTAGAGAAGTAAAACCAGAAACCAGCAATTGTTTAAGCTTAATTTAGTGTGATAGTGTGTATACTATGCCATTTAGAGGATCAAGCTTTGTATGTTTAATGAAGAATTCGTACAGAATATGATACCATATGTAGGTAACGTAACTAATGTGTAATGCTTTATTTTAGGCAAACATAACTGTCTGCTTCTGCAGGAAGAATTATTACTAGCATAAAGTCAACAGCATATTCAAGGATGATTCTTCCTAGTCTAATTTGCCTGTGCTGGCATAGATACTCGGTTATAATACAAACTAATTCAGGCAGCTGTCAAATCATTTTGGTTGCCAAACAAATAATATCTTATCTATGTTACAAAATAGGAATTACGCTACAGCGGGGGGAGCTGAATGAAAGCCAGTAATGGTACCTTCACTTCTAGATTCTGCTCTCCTCCATGCAACTCTTGGGCAGCACAGTGGTTTGTTCTGTAATATAGACAGTTGGGGGAGGATAAAATCCATTTAGAGAAGGCAGTGATATTTTTGAGCACTGAATGTGGATTTCACTGTGGTAGGTCCATGTGAGAATGCCAGAGTATGGTATAAAAACAGTAGAAGGTCACTGCCTACTTTTTTTTTCCCCCAGTCATTATTTGGAGCGTATTTCAGATGCTCTTCTCATCTCAAGGCTCTGAAATAAATTTTCTTTTTTTTATTTTTTTTAGTTCATTTCATGACAGTTATGTCAGTTGCTTTAGCTGGTTCCCATCATTTGAATCAAAGGATCAAAGCACTTGCATCCTCCGGGACAAATATAAATAAAAAGAATTGAAATATTCTTAGAAAATATTCTTGTCATACTGGGAATCATTTGCTAACTTAGCTTTTCCAAGAGATGAAACTAAGTGAGAAAAAGCTGGTGCCAACTCAGCCTTCTGAGTAATTCTGAAATACTGCTAGAGACTTAAGTAAATTATTCTTAACAAAACAAAATTACTTCAGGAATATTAATTGTATTCTATGTGTGACATATTACATGTAGTCCAGCTCTTTCAGGACATCACACTATTAAAACGTACTAATAAAGTTGTATTCTTAGGAAGCTCAACATCTTAAGCATGATCTGTATAAAATTCACATGGCTTATAGCGGGGCGAGATGGATATGCCTTAACTGTGTTGACACCAAGCTGTGATCACTGTAGGAAAAAAAACTTGCAACTAATAAAGAAGAGTGGCACTTTCATTAAGTTTCATTTTAACCCAATCTTTTCTTGGAATTAATTTTAACTCAAAGTTTCTGTTTGAGATGATAGAAATCTCAGCTTTCTCCATACCAATATTTCCTGCTTCTCATTCTGTTAAATGTTAAACTCTGTAACACCAATTAAATCTACCGTAAATTAAGTATAAGTAAATGTTTAATCTTTCTGTGAACTTTAAATGGTATACTAGTGGTTTCTCTTTTTCTTTGAATTAGATGGAGAGCAGAAGACTCAAGTGATGATTCATGGAATTGAGCCAATGCTGGAAACACCCATACAGTGGCTAAGCGAACATATGAGCTATCCGGATAATTTTCTCCACATTAGTATCATTCCCCGACCTACTGATTGAAACTCAGCTATATTGGTATGAGGATCATTCTCAAGCTGGAATTATAAGGGCATGTCAACTTCTTGCTTCTGTCAGCCTTGACAGAGGCAGCCTGACCAGAAAAAAAAAACAACAAAAAACCGAAACAAAACAAGAAGTCCTCACTGCTGCAAGCCAAACAGGAAGAGAGATCCTATCATCAGATAAGGGCAATTGGGCTGGTCTTATTTTGCATCACCGCTGCTTTTCTTCACCGCTGTAATTAAATCAGTTGCGATATGAAAGAATTTACAGGAGCTCTGCAAGTCTGCTGTTTTCTTGTAAAATATAATGAAGCTGAAACTGTCAGCCGGAGAGCAAATGGAAATATGCCACTTGATTGTATTTCTGATTAACAAATAAACAGGGCTGTTTCCTAAAGCGGTAGTGTTTCAACTTCGAGAGTGGAAACATTGGTTTAATTTTCTAGAAAGTTAGACACTGAGAGATTCAGTTACCAATAGCTTTTTGTAAAAGATCAAATTACTGTAAACCCATCTTTCCTTAATGAGAACTTCATGTTTACAGTATGTGTATTGGTATGCAAATGATCTTTTAACTTTGATAACAAGCAGTGAGAGATTTTAAAGTAAACCCGTGAGCATGTTTTGTCATTTAAAAACATGCACAACTTAATAATTTACAAATACTTTTGATTTGTATGCCGTTACTGAATACTCCAGTATGTTTATTATTCAAACCAGTTTTCATAGACTAGCAATGATGTAGGATAATTTGTCTCAGGATTTGTCATGGCATTTCTTTGTGCTCATCTAATTTTTTTTCTGTAAGGATATTTTCTTAATGTAGTTTAAAAAGTTTAAAAAAAAAAGTAAACTGATGTTGCAAACAATTGTATCCTGCTGTTTATTCCCATAGACAAGAAAACAGTTAAATCATAGAATGATGAACAGATGTATTGCTTTTTAACAATTTTGAATTTTGGAAAGCTGAGGCTTTTCCAAGCTAATACTTCCTTACATCTGAGTTTAGTTTTCTATTGTGGTCCCTGAGCAATCAGTCTGAAATTTGGAAGCTTCTAATCTCATTGCACAGAGTTTTCCTTAGTTTAGCAGATGTATTTTCAGGTTATTGGATCGCTTTGGTTTCTAAATGTTTGTTACCCTTGCAGCTGCTACTAGGACTCTACCATTTTTTTGTGTGTTACGCTGAATTCATCAAACTGTGCGCTGTATTGCTTTGTCTGCAATTTGAGGCTGTTTGTGGCAAAGACTATGTTTATAGGAGACATATTATCAAATATGTCAAATATTATCAAATATAAAGAAAGCATGACATTTTTCTTTCAAAAATAGTAGCTGTTGAAGTTCCTACTCGAAGTCTTGGCTTGCAGATGTCCCAGTAACTCTGAGTGCTGTTCCCATTCTGCTTTGTTTCCGTGCTCCCTTTACGGTAGGATACTTACCTGTATCTGAAAAAGAAGAAAATGAAAATCAATCAAACAAACAAACAAAAACCTCTTTAAGAAGTAAGAGGGGAAGGACCTCCTTGGGTGAGGATAGAATTGAGGCTAAAAAAAGCCCTAAGGGCAGAAAAAGTCAGTAGACAAATTAGGTAGGGTTTTAAATGTAAATGAGGAAATAGCATTAAGGAAACGGAAGGAAAAAGGTAATAGTGAAATAAACCTATGCTGTATTCTGCGGGTCATGAAGAATTTTCAAAACAAAACAAACCATGCTGATCTGTGTTTATGCAGAATTGAAATATAATATTCTTATAGTGGGATGATTTGGTTGAGTTATTCTAATTTCCAGTTCTGTTTGGAATTTTTGTTACAGTGTTGGATTGGCACTTATAAACTTTCTTAGGCAGACATCTAAATATTCTGGAGAATTTCAAAGTCCTGCCAATGGATAAAGCAAATATTTTGTAGAGTCTTCATACTTAAAAAAAAAAAAGAAAAAAGTCTTTTGTAGGGATAATTTTTCCATTAATCAGGATAAGAGGCGGTACATTTGAAAAACTGTAAAGATTGTGTTTCCTTTGTTTTAAGGTAAGCTGGCTATTTTAATATATTCTACACCAGCATTTTAAGTACACAGCTCTTTTCTCATGGCCCATATTTGCTAGTAAATCCAACTTTTAAAGCCTAGCATCAACAAAGAAATAGCTTGGCTTTAAAACATACTCTTTCCTCTTATTTTAACTATTTAAACTTTATTAAAAAATAAAACAAAGTTTGAGTCTGTCTTTATTTCCAGCTAAATAAGGATCTTTGTCATGGAGTGACAAAAACATTTAATTAATACTTAATAAGTAGGAACTTCTTAAAGAGCTGGTTGGGTGATGTATCTAAACAAAAGCACATCATCACAAAAATGAAGTGGCGTCTTTGCTTCACCTGATTTAAATCACATTTTTGTAGTTTCTTTTGCTTAGTGTGTGAATAACAACAGAAGGTGCGTTGTGGCTTAATTAAATACTTTTCTTCACTTTGAAATGCTGTAACTTCTGGAAAAAACAGATTTGGTCTAAATTGGTTAGAATCTAACATAGTGCTCACTAAATTAATTTCAATGCTAAGGAAAGGTGCCAAATACACGCACACACACTCCTCTGCATTTAGAATTAAATGTATCTGGTGAGCAAGTTAAGTTTATAGTTTAAAAAAAGAGCAAAACACAGAGCTTGTTGCTGTCTTCACTGTATTTCATGTTGTTTGGCAATAGCTACCTCCATTTTTGAGTGGTCAGTGAAGAAAGAGTGAATTTTCCAACGATTTCTTTGATACCATTGGCGGTCACTCAGCCCATTGTCAGTCGCCACCCAAGGCGATGCCTTTTCATTAAGAGCTAGAAATTGGTTATTTTAGCTTTAAATTAATCTCCAGGAATTCTTTTGGGGAAACAAACAAACAAACAAAACATAGGAGCATACTAAAGAAAATAAATTTGTACTGGTAAAAAGTCGGATGACATTGCCACTACTGGGAAGAATGTGAACTTGCCAGCTGAAGGCCTGGTAACCCTGAAAAATGGAGAACGGGAAAAGGTGTTGAATATACAGAGTGGGCATAGGGACTAAGGAGAAGGATTTCTGCTGGGAAATGAGAAGAGCTCGTGCAATGGTGCGTTATGCTGCTAAAGCACGTGTTATCCTCAGTTCCCATTAGGTACAGAAAATGGGGGGGGAATTGTTTGCCTGCAGGGGCAGCGGTTCTCACATGGAATGTTGGGGGGGGGTTCTGACCGCCCCTGTGCGAAAGGAGAGATTCGGGCTGGTATAGGGACTGTGCTGCCTTAGTGGCAGAAATGCAAATACTGCTGGGAATATGTATCGGTGTGATTGGGAAATCTTGCAGCAATGTGAAGAAATAGTAAATCTTAAGGACCGATCAGGCACAGGAACGTGCAGTATAAACTAGCCATTAATAAATGTATGGAAAGGAAAACTATTGAGCTACTTCAAACCAAGTTACTTCTCCACTAGGAGTTTTGGGAGCTGTGGAGCAAGCCGGTGTGAAGGTTAAGTTACGAAAAGGATGGGAGCTGGTTGCCTGTGATAGCAGTCATTGGACTCAGTGACTGGGAAAGTCCTTTTGGTTCTGTGTTCCTGCGTGTTTTGCTGTGACAGCCAGATACCTATCAGCTGATGAAGACTCTTGATCATGACTTCCAGTATTATTTATATCCTGCATAATAATTGCGGCCTTTTTTTTTTATTTCCTTATATGGTGAATGGTGTCTGAGTGACAACTCTGTGTTTATGGCACTGACGGTAGCTGGTGTTTTTTCAGTTTCGATATTTAGGAAAACCTGCATCTTGGCTGTACAAGTGTATTAGCACGCTCTTAGAAGAATTCTAGGGCTAAAACATGGCTCTTCACTTTAGAGAATGTTTTAAGCAAATGTCACAGCTTGCCAGTGATAATCTACCAAATCAAGGGGCTGGACAAGAAAAGGATAGATTAATCTCTTTCATAGGTACTTTCCAAATGGAACATTTTTACGTGTAATGATTTTAAACTCTCCAAAGAACCCAGATGTTTGCTTGCAAATTTAGCAGTAGCTTACAGAATGTACTTATTCATATGCTACCGTATGTAGATGTTAAAACTGATTACGTACTTGCATAAGTCTAATGTTAATATTGATGATTATCAGATTATGCCAGAAAGAGAACCGCGTTAGTGATCGTGAGGTCTCCCGTGAGTGCTGTTGTTCTGGTGCTGCAAATGGATGAAATGTGAAGTTTGAGTGGATGGATCTCTGGCAAGTACTACCACTTTTTCCAACTTCAGCCTTCCAGCAAAAACAAAATTACTATGTCTTTCCTGAGAAAATAATGTTATTTTCTTGACATGGCAAAAGTGTATTTCAGGGGAAAATACTTTCCCCCCCAGAATATTTTTGATTCAAAATGTGTGTCTGTATCAGAATAGTAAGGCTTTTGGAAAGTGACTTTAGCCATTGATTTTAGCAGTCCCTGTTCATTTGGACAGGAAAGAGATTCCTGAAGTGATTTTTTTTTTCTTTCCTTAGGATGAGAAAGGGTATGCACAGAGGTTCTTAGAATATCACATCGCATATAGAATGGATTTCTGAATTAAAGCAGGTAGGTGTCTATTCTGCGTTAAAACTTCTGGTTTTGAGACAGGGATGGTGACATTTCAAAATGTCACACTAAACCTGAGTAATATCTCTTGAGAGAGAGGTTAAAAGATGTGAAGTTTCAAATGCTCAGAAGTAGATTTCAGATTTCTGTACTTTCAAGTTATACTATCAAATTAGCTTGTGGAAGAAGAGTTTAAAATGAGAGAGATGTTTTGTTTCCTTCCCTTGCCTTTTATGTCTCCACGATTCAAGTAATTAAGTTCTTTTAGCTGTGAAATGAAACACCAGTTTCTCTAAACAATAGATTAAAGAACACAAAATAATACAAAACTTCTTTCAAATACAGCTATGCAAACAGGTACATGAAGAGGAGTTTTGTGTAGTTCAGGTTTTTATATGTGTGAAGTAACTAGCAATTATATGAAGTTCAAAGGTATGGTTTTCCACATGGTTTTAATAGTATTTATATGGACAAAAACGACCCAGGGTAGAAAGAGAGGCAGTCAAACACCATGTTAGGGTTGGAGGTTGGAGGAACTTGACTTTACTGCACTTGAAACTGCCAAAATGTGTCAGATGTTAAAATACCACTTTCCACTGAAGATGTTTAAAGCCTTAATCCTTGCATCATTTCACCAATATAGGTCAACAGATACAATAAAATGAATATGTTGTGGGAACAAATGCGTGATCTAGTTACTGATACGCATTATAGTCTCATCTTAGTGTTCACGCTAATCGTGAGTATTGTATAGTGGAAAGGGTAAAGCCCATATGTGATATAGTCTGCATCTGCCAGAATTTGGAGGATCGCTTGCTAGACTTTGTCAAATGCATTTTGCAAGTTCACATGCACGTCTTAAAAGCTACTAGAGGTTAGGTCCTCCTTCAAAGAAAACCAGGCTGGTGGAAATCAATAGCGTTGTTCATGAACCCTCTCCCTCCACCCCCTGTCTGCCCCTTTTAGTTGTCCTTACATACACGAGGTAATTCTAGGAGAGAAACAGTGCATTTTTGTTCACTTTGTAATTAATTATGTAAAAGCAAAACCTTGTTAGAGGATTTATTTTATTTTTTTTCCTGTATACTGACAAAAGCTTCACCTGCTTTGGTTGAAAGGCATGCAGAGAGAATGCGCATGTGAAAGCTGATGATGTCTTATTCTATACAGATGTGTGTATAATTTTTCCTTGTGTATATTGCGATTATGTTACTTAGGGTCAGTAGTGTTCCAACTGCCATAAAAAAGACAACTTGTAATTCTTTCAGCTAGACA